ACTGCTTTTCAAAGGCATATATGGGCTACAAGAGATGGACAACAAGGAGTTGCTTAGCATCAACAACACCTACAACACACATGGGGATATTCACATTCAAAGTCAGGGATCATGAACAAAATCTGGGCTCAAAATGACATAGCCACCATGCACATTAAGTACTGGACACTTGAAAAAATACAATATTTGGCTACAGATCTGGGTATCTCAAATATTTGCAGGTACTCAACACATGAGAATGTATTCTTCCATGCAAAGGATATAATCACCACAAGGTCTAAAATCACTAACAAGCAGGGCCAATATGGCAAACACACAAGAATCATTGCAAATTATGGCCATTTTTTACTTTAGCCACTTTTTAGTACATAATGTGATATCAATTTTGAGAACATCACTCAAGATTGATAATAAGGAGTATGTAATTTTATTACGTAGGCAACTGCACTACTTAGACTCATTGACATTATATTTTATTTTTTTTTAGATATATATAAAAATCAGCCCTAGGCACCTCGCCTAGTGAATTTATTTAAAAAAAGAAAAATAATATATATAAAATGTGTAGATAATTTGTATTATATTGTCTGTCCAGAAGTAAAAAATATTTACCTTGATCCACGATGGTTTGATCATTCTCTCTTCTAATGCAGATATCCATATCTTGTCCTTACTAGTTGTCCAGTTAAGTAAGCGGGGGATCAAATTACCATTGTAGCTATATCGATATTGACTGTAGAGCAATACTCATACAACCAGATTTGCATAGCGAGTGGAAAATCTCGAATGAGATAAAAATGCACAGAAGGGTTGAGCTTGTGCCTAACGGACTGAAGCAATTGTGTATAAGTTTCGATTCCCCATGCGAAATTCGCATACTGCCCCGAGTCTACCAAGTAGAACCTAAAATGGTCTATCAAACCATTATCTTTCTCTGAAAGACAGAGGAAGAATTCTATCAGATAAAGAATACACAACTTGACTACATCCTCATCATTCACCCAACTACGGCTGGTTATAATTTGTTTCAAGTATGACTTCTCAACTTTTTCCTTGTTCGAAAAATAGCTCCTCGTTGTTTTACGGTCATACTTAGTTGTGTAACCAAAATTTGTTACTTCTGTAAAAAAAATCTAAGGCTAGTGATAAGGGCAAACTCCCTCAACCCAAAGTTCAGCCTCTCACCCTTTATCTCTGCTGTAAAAAATCAGAATCAGATGCGTTCAATTCATACTTCATGAGAAGGTGAATTGCCTAATTTTGGATACATATTTTGGGCAGGGAAAGAAAATGGCCAAAACATGTCTTTTTAAACAACTTTAACCCATTTTCAGACAATAACACCTTATTTGGCTAGGAACAACAGGGTCGGATAATGTCTGGAACCTAGTGATGCCATAATGAACATCATGTGGTACAAAAATTGTTCGATTCTGCACCAAAAGAAACAATAAGTTAATAAAACTTGTTTGAAGACCAAAAAATAAAATAAATACAATTATACTACAATTTAGCTACAATCAGAAAGACATTAATACATTGCATACAAGTAAGTTACAAAATTAGTAAACATATATAACAACTGACTACATTGAAGCTACAAATACACTGATAAAATTATGTTTAGAGCAAGAAATTAGAAAGTAACAACTAGACATAATATATACAATTTGTTTACAGAAAATAAAACTAACATCTACAAATAGAGCAAATAATAACCAATAAAACCAACTAAATCATGTAGTACATTCCCTAACAAAATAATTTCGAATACTATACAAGAAATCTATATTTTTTTAGGAAATGTAGAAAAGTTGATAACCAACAACAAATATACACAATGTAGACAAAATTTCTACAAATAAAAAATATATATATATGTATAGTCATGAGAATGAGAACAGGTTTTGTAACTTAAAAAAAATAAAATTGTAACTACTAAAATTTTACCTTCTCCAGTGACTGTTGGGGTATAGTTTTAGGTAATTTTTGAATCTTCTTCTTTTTTGAAGGTTTGACAGTAGGAGAAACTTTGATTCTTTTTTTTGCAGGTTTCGGGATAACTTCTTCTTCGACGAAATCATCATCACGAGCAATTTTTTTGCCCTTCCGCTTTGCTGATTTGCAGATGTCGAAGCTTCACCAGCATCCCTGTCATGCTTGAGTTTTGTTCGAGCTTCTGCCCTAGCTTCATGAGGGAAAAGCTTGGACTTTGTCTCTGAATTTTGCATGTGCCGATTTCACTACTTTTTTGAGTGAATCTTGTGAGAAAACACCTAAATCAAAAGTAGAAATATCACCAATATTAGCTTTTTTAGGGCTATTCTTCGGAACTACTTTCTTCTTCATTGTAAGGGAAGGAAAATTTTAAGCTGCTACTATTTTCGTAGGATTTAGAGCGAGAATTCAGAAAGATTGAGAGAGATTATAAAAGATTTTTGAACAAAAATGGAAGAGAGCCTTAATGGAGGGAGATAGTACAAAATCGTGGGAATTATGGACAGAGAAATATGGGGGGAGTGGAATATGTACGTTAGAGAGATTATATGAGTTAATTGATTTCTCATTAAATTCCTAAAATGTATTCCTTCCGTTTCAATTTAGATGAGGTAGTTTGACTTGGCACAAAGTTTAAGAAAGAAAAGAAAGACTTTAAAAATATGTGGTCTCAACTGCTTAAGGGGTAAAAGCTTTGTGGGGCCATGATACTTGTGTGGCTATAAAAGTTTCTCACTAAGGGTAAAGTGAGTAGAATGAAAAGTTTAAAGTTAAATTGTTTCCAAATATAGAAATGTGTCATTCTTTTTTTGAACGGACTAATAAGGAAAGTGTGTCATCTAAATCGAAACGGAGGGAGTATATAATTGATAAATTATATATGCTTATGTAATTGAATTGAAACTTGAGTGGAGGTAATAAANATATATATATATTAAATTTAACAGTTAAAATTAAATTATTTAGTTTGATATAAATATGAAAAGTGCATTAAAAAGACCAATTGTGGTCACTAACTCAAAATCCAAAAAAGAAAAACTATAAAATTGCTCTTCGGAGTTTGGCCTAAAAGCAAATGTCAGAAACCCAACCAAACAGCTCAGATCCGATTCACCTTTGACTCTCTCTCCTGTCCCTTTTCTTCTCCTCCATACATATATATCTGCAAAAAAGTCAGCTCTTCCATTCCATTCCCCTTTTCCTTATTTCTCACACTCTCATCTCTCAAAACTTCTCTATTTTTTCTAACACCCAAATTTTATACGAACTCCGGCTTACTTTTTTATATACATAGTGTGTGTGTGTTGTGGATCTTAGTGGAATTTGATTTATGCAAACAAGACGGCACTTGATAACGGGAGGCGGCGGTGATCTGCTTCTCGGTAGACGGTAAGCCGGCACCTTGTTCTTTTCTTTTTTGTTGTTAAATATAGAGCAAATAATTAATACTGTTGTCTTTCTGTAGCCACTAATTAGTGCCTTCCAAAAGTTTCTTTTTTCTCTTCTTCTCTTTCCATTTATTAGCACTGTTTTAAATGCACGTAGCCTTCCTACAGTTGTAAATCAGTATATAGCTGATTTTTGTTTTTGTGGAAATATATATTTACATTAATTTTCACTAGAAAAGTGGTGAATACACATTGTCAAACAAAAAAAGTTAACCGAATTTGGAACGTGCACTAAAGTCTAAACCATGTAATTTACTAGTTAAATAATAAAGAAAGATAAAATTACATACTGATAGTATAAAATTCATTTAGTGCTTTTCTATATATGCTATATGTACAAGCACAGTACACATGTACCTGTACAGAGTGCACAGATGACAAGTGAATATTAATTGCATTAAGAGAGAGAAAGAGATTTTTTTACCATTTTGGGTTTGTTGATTTAATACTGCTATCTTCCTCCTTTTCCTTTTTGCTCCTCTTACTTCAAATTACACTCTTTTCTTTCACATTCATTTTGTTTCTTATTTGCCTATGTTGATTGAATTTAAATGGCATGACTTTTTGCCATTTCATCAGGCCAAGAATTCATTAGTTGGTATATCTCTCTCTCTCTAAATATTTGTACATTTTTTCTCTCTATTTATGTGAATTTGTTTGTCTGTGTTGATGCAGAAGGGGGTCTCAGATTTTGGGATTTATCTGTTGATTTAGCTTGCCTTTTGCAGTTAGTATTCCATGGCTATGATTGCATTTTCTTAGTGTTGTCTTTGTTTTTCTCTTTGCTCTTCATTTCTGAAATTTTAAGCTGTATTTACTATTTAGTGTTCTAAGTTTGTTTAGCTTTTCCGAGATTTATATATCAGTAGAAAATATAATAAATTTCTAGAATTTTTATTTTTTTTCATCTTGATTAGTATTAGCCTGAAATGAGTTTATATGAAATTATTAGTGAAAATTCATATAGCTGGCCGTAACTTATTTGGGATTAAAGGTGTTTTGATACTTTGTTATGAAACCCAAACCCAAACCCAAATATTATCGTATGATTAAAGAATTTAAAATATAAAAATTTACCCTTTTAATTATGGTTTTATAAGATTGTGAATTTTATTGGGATCTGAGAAGAACCTGCCAGAATGTATAAATCTGGACAAGGCCTTTTTCATTATTTTTCTAATTTTTTAGTTATCCTTTTGAGGGGGTGAATTAAAATATTAATAAGGGATTAGATCCAGTTAGAAGTGAGTGGTAATTTACTATGTTACTTGGACTCTTCAAAAATATTGTTGGGTGCATGTCGGATCCTCCAAATTTAGTGTATTTTTGGAGGATCCGACACGGGTATGGGATCACTTTTGGAGAGTCCGAGTAACATAGGTAATTTGTATTCCCTCCGTTCCAATTTAGGTGAATCTATTTGACTGGACACGGAGTTTAAGAAAAAATGAAGACTTTTAGAATTTGTGGTCCTAAACAAATCAAAAAGGGGCCCAGAGTATTTGTGTGGTTATAAAAACTTCTTATTAAGGGTAAAATTGTAAGTTTAAGCTAAATTGTTACCAAATTTTGAAATTGGTCATTCTTTTTGGAACGGATCAAAAAGGAAATAGGTTCACATAAACTGGAATAGTGGAAGTATTAGATAGCTAAAGGACAAAATAAATGGTGGGGATTGGTCATTGACTTAGGAAATGGGCTTGTATTTTAGCCGTTTAAGCAATGTACAAAATTTTCAAAGTTGAAATGACCAATTCTTGTCCTTTTCTTTATCTACTATGGACAAAGTTCAGCTGCCATGTGGTTAGGCAATTTAACATAAAAAGTGACTATTTGTACAGGAGGTAAGGCAACTTGCTTTGTTTTTGTAATTTTCTTGCATGTTTGAGTGAGATCATTATGCACCTTTGGCATTTTCTTTAAAATTGTAATTTCTTTTTTAATTTTAAGTTTGTGTGAATCCTGTGCAACAGAAAATCAGCTGGTTGTTTTTCTGTAACTGAAGTTTTCTCTGATGTGTTACTGACAGTAGTCCGCCTTGCTTAATCCTTTGGTCATGGCGCGTTAAATTATTTCTATTGAACTCATGTTAGATGATCTGAACTATTTCCATTGTTCCCTCATGTTTATCGTGCAAAAGCCATTAGATCTATCTCCAGTGGTATCTGAAACTGGTTCACTGTCATTCTGATTCTATTTTGTTTTTGGGCTTCGCGTTGTATATGGTCAGAAACTTGTATGTTAAGTGTAAGGATAGGTGTATGATGTAGAAATAATCTAACTTTCAGAACTCCTAATTTGCTTAATAGACAAATTAAGTAGTATGAATGAAAAGACAACTGGTGCTGCAGAGTGGAATGGTTATAGACTGTAGAGGATTCATATAGCAGTCCGTACTTAGTTTGGGAATGAGGCAGCGTTAGATTGTTTGCATTCTTGGCCACTGTTCTCTCGTTATTACTACTAGATGGTTTGGCATGTTATGCTATATTGTTTCCGGCTACTTTTTTTGGGTCGAATATGTTGCTAAAATTATCCTTGTCAAGGAATTTGCAAGTATTCACAGCCAGTTCCTCCTAAACATATTTTGGAAAGTCTGTTGACATAGCTTTCTGAGTCATATATATCTACCTCAGACGTTGATGTTTGCTTCACTGCTTGTGAGAATTCTCCAGACTCGTCCAACTGATGTAATCTATGAATTTTCTGCTGCTGCTAAGAATGCATCTTTCGTAGGTCTTAAGCTCGCCGATGGCTTTTTTTCTACTTTTAATACAATAAGGAGTGAATTAATCTGATACATCCTGTTTCTGGTTATCTTTGCCTTACTGCCCATTGAATTTGTTCAAATACTTATCTATTTATGGGATGCTTTACGTCTTAATGTTATATTGTCAGATTGCACCTAAACAGGACTCAATAGAACGTATTATCACTCAACTTGGTTCTTGCATTGAGAAGTTAAATCGCCTGTGGACATTGATCGTCTGTTTGTATTCCATGTATTTGAATGCGACGACAGTGTCTTAACACGCTGAAGAGAAGGCCACCATGAAGGAAAATCTGGACGAGATATTAAATCACTCAAATGGTTACAATGAGTCTAAGTCTTTAGTCTTTCCAACAAAAGATCTGCTTGATTCAAATGGTTATCACGGCGGTAAAGACTCTTTGGAAAGTGAAACAAAAGAGAGGAACGAATTCTGGAAACATCAGGAACTTAATGGCTCTGTATTTTTTGAAGATATTTCAAGAAGTAACAAACATGAAACTACTTGCAAGAGAAATGGAAATCCTTTTGCATGTGACACAGAAGATAGAGATCATGCCTGGAGTATTCCAGAATTTGAGGGCTCGATGATTGTTGACGTTGATGATAAAGAAAATGGAGCCATAGTCTCTAATGCACCATTTACCTCTGCTTCAGAGTTGTTTGGTATAGACACTCATTTATATATCGATAAGGGTGTCGTGGAATGCAAATTGCCTGAATCGACAATTTGCTACAAAGAAAGTAACTATAACATTATGAAAGACATATGCATAGATGAGGGATGCATAGATGAGGGTGTACCTCTAGTGGATAAAATTGTAACTGAAAGCAAGAAAGATGATCAGCCCAACTCGTCTGTTTCTCTAGCTGCTGACGAACACCGCCCTAGCTATACAAGGGGAAATATTGACAGTGAATTGCTCTCAACAGGTGAGTATAAAACTTCATCAGTTGAAGATACCGACAAAATTGCTTTGGCTCATCATACAACTACAGAAGATGAGGACACTCAGTCGCTTGTTCCAAGTGGTTTAAAACCCTCCTCAGAAGATAATATCAGCAAAGGTGCTGATAAGGATTCTTGTCTAGAGGATGTGATGAAGATTTTTGGATCAAAATGTACTACAATGGAAAAAGCCATTAACACATCAGAAAAAGAATCCGGCATTCAGAATTCTAAAGAATCTAACTCTGATGCTGATCAATCAGCACAGCAGCCTGATCAGGTTTGTTTATGTTATTTTTACAAAGTCGCCTATATTTTGATGTCATGTGGTTGATAAGTCTATGTGCATGTTTTTTGACACATTCCTTTGGCCAAACTTGATTACAAGTGCAGTTCCTTGAACTGCAGATGCCTTCTGGCGTAGCAACTGTCAACAGCGAAAATGCAGTCTCGGCACCTGATGAAACAAGCAACAATGGGCCATGTAGCAACGTCTTTTCCAATAGCAAGTCGGAAGCTGGAGCTATTACTTGTGACCAAAGCTCTACTGAGTCAACTTTAAGTAGCAGTGTGGAAAATATCGCCAAAAACTTGCCTGAAAAATCCCTTAAATTAGAGGCCATCTCCAGTCACAAGGATGGGAGTTCTGATGGCATTTCAGCTGGTAGTCAAATTCATTTTACCAACTGTGTGGACAGGAGCGATAGCAGTGTTCATGGACAATCTCTTGACCCCAAAAATATGGCTAATCTCGAGGATAAAACCTCTGATAATCTCCCCCTCGGTACGCATGGTCATTTTGCAGATGGAGAGGCAAGTTTTTCTGCAGGAGGACCTGCATCTGGTCTGATCACTTACTCAGGACCTATATCACATTCGGGCAGCGTCTCTCTTCGGTCAGATAGCAGTACAACCAGTGCTAGATCCTTTGCCTTCCCAGTGTAATCTTCTGCTACTTCTTATGCTAATATTTTTTTCCCATTATCTTCCAGTTGCTGCAAGTATGTGATTAACATTTTACTTGTGTTGGTATTTGCAGCTTACAGAATGAATGGAACAGTAGTCCAGTAAGAATGGCAAAGGCAGAAAGAAGGCGGAAACAGGGGGGTTGGAGGCAGAGCCTTCTCTGTTGTAGATTCTAAGTCCTTTTATTTCTTTTAATAGGGTTGTTAGTTCAAAAATATACATCACTTATAATCCGAAATCATGATCCATTGAGTATTTGTAATTATAAATGTTGATATTCTCTTAGGAATATGTCAGCGGTGGTAGGTTTAGATGGCTCTTTGAGTTTGTTTTCGCTAAGAGCGGAGGCTGTGAAATGTAAAACCTCACATTTTTGTTTTCCTTACTTTATATGATCCTTCTATAATACAATCATTTAGCAGTGAAACTCATATTACCTTAAACTTGCTTACTGTATGCTCCTTTGCGAGTCTATTCTAAGGATGTGTAATGAAGATTTCTCCATTCTTAAGCAAAGGTCTCGAGTGTGGAGAACATCTTAATAAGGAGAACTTTACTCCCTTAGTGGGCCTACTCGATATGAATTTATTTAAAGAAATTATTACCTAGCTATAATATAATAGAAATTTATTTATCTATTTTCTCTATGTTTTGTAGTTTTTAATAAGTATCTAAGTTTTTCTTACAAATTATATACATTGCTCCTTAAAAGACACTCACCTCATAATTAATGCCTTCAATTAAGGGATTCAATTATATCATTTCCTTTTTTTTTTCCCTCCTCTTCTCTCTCCTTTCTTTTTTTAACATCAAAATCTCTTAATCTGCTCAGAATCTCCATATTCTCAATTCACAAATTATATACATTGCTCCTTGAAAGGCATGTGTTTTCTGCAGGCTTTGATTGTCGTATTAGAAGTAAGCAAAGAAATTTTGAAGGACAACTCAAATTTTTTCCCAATAAAACCAATGGATTACGGGTGTTTCCTTGTAATATAAATAGGGACAAAATCTGCAAATGGGAACATAAGTTATAATGCATCAATGGCAGCCAAATGGGGTATTGTGGATTGGTTATTTCACAAAGGATCCACACCACTAATCAAAGTGTTCACCCAATCAAGTGTTGATTTGGTTGATTACCATAATTCTGTTGTTTTTCAAGCTCTACATTGTGATAATAATTACCTTCGAATCTCCATCTTCTCTCTTTTCACCATTGCCGACAACTTTATATTATTAAAAAATCATCAATTGCATTGTTCTTTTGCTGGGAGACTGGACAACACTCAAAATGAAGAAATATTCAGGAATTGTATGATAACTATATCATAATTATATTTGAATTGTATCAGATACATCAATGCCTAAAACATAATTGTATCATACTTGTATCATAATTGTATCTTACTTGTATCTGGTACAGTAATACCCAAAATAATACCTGATACAATACTAATAAATTGATATACAATTATCATATATTTGTGATACAAACTGTGAAATTCGTCATGCTCACAACTGCTAGTAACAATTGGGTAATTATTAAGAAAGAGAAAAATATTTTTGACATCCTTTGGGAAAAAAACAGAATCTTAAATGTAGGGGGGTTATTGGAAATGGGGATGGGTGTCGTGTAACTGACAGACTAAAATTAAGGGATCTTGAATTTTTTTCTTTTTTATGCTTTTGTATATAACTTGTAAATATAGATATACAAAGTAATTTATAAGGAACCCAAATAAAGGTGGTAAATAGATTTCTATTATAATATAGCTAGGTTAAAAAGGAAATTTTACCTCCTATAGCAAAGTATTACACCTTATTTATTATAAATCAAAATCATTTTAAAATATTATTATCTATAGCTACCTTTTATATTTTATAGCAAAATAAGTATTTATTGTATACACTACCGTTGAGGCGTGAAATACACTATTTATGTTTTTTCTCTCTCTTTCTTTCAGTTAACACACGTTCTCTCTCAAATCACAGCAAGATTTTTCTTCTTTCTCTCTCCGCGATCTTTCTCTCACACATCAAGATTGTAGGAACAAATTTCTCAGAATTGATCCTCAACGTTTTTGCTCCAAAAGTTCGTGGTAATTGGTAAAGCTTTTGGCTGGTTCACGCCAAATTACTCTGCATTTCTTCTTTTACTCTTCACTATTTTTTTTAAAATTTTCGACATCGATAGGTTTTGAGGAAGAAATTTCAAATTTCATCTTCAATGGCTGATTCAACAACTCTGAAGAGGGTTATACGAGGTATGCCCACTAAAGCACTCAATTTTGATCGTCGGCGTCATCATCCACTATTGGCTCATCCTCTTAGGCGAACAGATCTAGTCATGGCTATGCCGGAGAAGATTTGAGGGCCGGATTTTGTTCGTCTCCATTTTTAGCTTTAATATAACGTATACAGTATTTTGCTTGGCCAGAAAAAGCCATCTCCGGTGAACTTTCTTCTCTTCTTTGTTATTTTAGTCACATACAATGATACAAATACATTATATTCTGTACAAATATACTCAAATACATTATATTTTTGTATAAATACATTATATTTTTTCGCCTGTATTTATGTATTTTGAAGGTCTGTATTTTTTTAATACATCCGAATATCACTGTGTTTTGTATTTTTTTTTGTTTGAATACAGTCGAATTGAATACGATGAATTGAATACAATGTATAATAGTGAATAATGAATATCTGTGAATTGAATACAATGTATACAATCGAATTGAATAGAACAGTGTACATCCTATTTCTTGATTACCTCACTGTATCTATAAATACAATCGCACTAATACATGGAATACAATACAGTAGCAGCGAAATGTATGTAGCATTGATTTTGTTGAGTTAAATTAGGAGTGTTACATGCTAATTGATCGTCTTTCCGTTATTAAACAGCTGGACTCACCCATTTTTAGACGAATTCTGCTATTGTATTCATGAATACAGTAGCACGAATACAGCGAAACAGTTGCACAGTTGGACTCCCCTATTACTGTATTCATGAATACAGTAGCGTGAATAAAGTCGCGTAGCAGCAAAATTTATGTAGAATTGATTTTGTTGAGTTAAATTAGGAGAGATACACACTAATTGATTCTTTTTTCGTTATTAAACAACTGGATTCCCCTATTTTTAGGCGAATTCTGCTACTGTATTCATGAATACAGTAGCATGAATATAGTGGCGCGAATATAGCGAATACAATCGCGTAGCAGCGAAATTTATGTCGAATTGATTTTGTTGAGTTAAATTAGGAGTGATACACGCCAATTGATTCTCTTTCCGTTATTAAACAGCTGGACTCCCCTATTTTTTAGGTGAATTCCGCTACTGTATTCATGAATACAGTAGCGCAAATACAGCGAATACAGTCGCACAACTGGACTTCCCTATTTTTTAGGCGAATTTTGCTACTGTATTTATGAATATAGTAGCGCAAATACAGTCGCATAACAACTAAATAGTAACTATAGGAAGTAATTATATATATGGTAGCCGTAGAAAGTTAATAAACGCTGAACAATAGTGATTTATGAAAAATATCTTTTTAAAACTCAATTGTTTTTTGCAAACATGAGTTTGGTAACTATCCAACCCGTCGAACTACACCAATAACATAATAATCCTTTACAAGAAATTAAATTCATTTTAATAGGTCTACCCGAGCTAGGACTGGAAGGATAAGACTTTGTGGGCCTACCTTCCTTTTAAGTGTTATAAATTTCAAACAGAATGACACTTTCATGTTAAAGTTTCTTCATTAGCCACTGTACCATAACATGGAAATCACCATAAGAATCATCACCTCACTTTTCATTTTTATCTCATTCATTCATGTTATCTCCATTCTTTTCTGCTCAACAGTTAGTTAATTTATCATCTTCTGTCTCTCTTATTGTTTGTTTTTCTCCTTTTAATTTTGGGGTTTTCCTTCTTTCCTTACTCATATTTCGTATGGACTTTATTACTCAGTATCGGTCCATCTGAACTCAATACTTTTGACGCGGAGCATAAATTTATATATAAAAACGTGAATTGCAATAAATAGTAGGCATGAACCCATAATTTTAAACTAAGCATTTAACCTTCTAATTCTTAGATTCGCCTCTGCTTCAGCCCAATAGAGGGCTTGCCGTTATTTCTTTATTTGTTTTTTTTTTCTTCCTAAACAATTTAATATATTTACCAAATTATTACATGAATTATAATCATTTCTATCAATCAAGAATAAGAAGGTAAAATGCTATGGAGAGCAAAAATAGATTCAGTCCCAACTAGCAACGCAAAACAAGCTTCGGTGCAAGACATAGTGAATGGAGCTCATGTTTGTGCATTGCTGTTATAGTAATTGATATCGTGCAGCAGATACCAATGTCATGAAAATACGCTTTTTGCTTGTACAATGTGGAAATTAACTGTTGTACGTAATGCATGGAATATGTACATTTAAGTTAAATCAAGCTCCATCCCCGTTCCCACCACCAAGTGGTGTCGTAAGATCATCAGAATCTCTCCATCCTTAACCAGATGTCTCGGGTTTCAGCCCTGAGAATGGATACAGGACACTATACCTCTTTTAGTGGCCTTATCAGTAATCTTCTCTAAAGATTAATCAACATTATGTTCTCATGAGAAACCTCTTGTCTAATTTGTATATAACTCTTACATTGAAAAGTAATTCGTGAAGTACCTTTAACTAATAAGCTTCCCATTGATACAATTATAGTACATATATATGCTTTCATGTATCATCTATTATTAAATTCTAGTGTTATATTATATTATTATGTATTAAAATCTTAGGTACGCGGTTTAAGTTGTTTAAATTTTAGGTCGGTAATCCCCTGACAGCTTCCTCCAAAAATATTACCAACACATTCTAAAAATCCGTTAGTAATTTGCTTTTTTCTTTGCTGTTGCGTGTTTGTTGTTATAATCGATGCCAAGTAGCAAATACACTTTATATCAATGCGTTTACTCTTTGTACAATATTGTGGAAATTAACTGTTGTAAAAGATTTTCTTTATCAGTTATTTTTCTAAAGGTTAATGAATATTTTGTTCTCACGAGACCTCGTGTCTAATTTTGCATACAATTCTCTCGTAAAAAATAAGTTTTTAAGTACCTTAACTAACCAACGAATCTTCCCACTGTACATGATCATACATGCTTTCATGTAATTAATCATCATCTTTTACAAACTTTTAGCGTCATATTGCTTTTGTGTGATATGAGTTATGGGTTCAACCAAACCGGCAGTTTGACTCAAACCCAATACAGATGTTAAGAAATGTACAAATACTACATTTCGAACCCATTAACTCAAATGCTTTGTTCATCAGGATTTGGATGAAAGATATACTCAAGAATCAAAATGAGAAATCATTTCCTTGTTTAGGTCTACTGACTTATAGACTGTAGAAAACATGGAAAACTAGTCATATTGGTATAGATGGTGAAGCCGAAAAAGAGATTTACAGCATAACATAAATAACTGCATACTCTTTTACATATCAATTATTAACCTCTGACAAATCAGAATATCGCGAGGTTAAGAAGCAGGCGCAAGATGATATCACCCAGAAAAAAAGAAAAAAGAAAAAACAAACATTAAAAATGAAAAAAGGAAGAGATATCAAAAGGACGCATTGCTATAAACATGACTCAAGCGAATGGGATATACATATCGACTTTCTTTTGAACCATAAGATGACACAAAAAACTAAGTTGATTTAGCTGGATATGACCATGCTATTATCATATCTATATCTTCAGCCTCTTTTGAGCTTGGTCCAAATCTTCATCATTGCTTGCCTCCCGGAAATGATCCATATGTTGATTACTAGAGGGTGGAGGATTCTCGTTATCCTAGAGTTAAATGCAAATGAATTGGTAAGTGTACAGTGTGGAGTAGGTGGATCGCCAAAGAATTAATCTAAGATGCTCATGCGCCTCAAGGAAGACGCTAGGTAAGTGATTGAACATTATCATGGTTCATGGATGCAGTGCGCTGTCTCAAACATAATTTGCTTCTCATTTCAGAAAAGTCGGAAAAGATTTATACCTTCGCAATTGATGGTCCTGAAGTCATCCCTCTGTCTGCCCGCTTCCCAAAATTAATTTGCACAGAGATAGTGGCCTGAGAAAGATCAAGACCGGTATTCTCCAATGCTTGTGTCAATGAATTTAGTAACCTGATTAAACCAAATCAATGACCAGTGATCAATACAAATATCATGTTGACATCAACAAACGAATTACCCATAGATGTTGTGATAAAGACATCCAACTTGACAAGATTACCAAGACACGCTAATCTGGAGATATCACAAAAAAAGTCTCATAAGAACGTCGGATTTAGCATAAGCAGCCATTGATAATACAATTCTGACTACACCCTTTACATGCATATGAAAGTTGAAATGCCAAAAAATATGTCGTAAATGAGGTTAATAAAAATATTTACTGCTTACTTGAGACTTCATTTTCCGCTGCAGCTTTCCTGGGTTCATTTTCTCAACAAAAAAGATGAGAATGAACCATACTTTTGGCTATACGCTAAATTCAAGATATGCCATAGTTTGAACATCTAACGCCATGAAACACAAAAAGAAAGGACAGACAAAACTTATTGAATTGGTTGAAGTTAACATGCAGCATGGAACGCATATGCTCACAACTGAAGAGGAATTATGATGAAGATAAGGTCCAAATACTCAAATAATTGGCCCCCAGGATAGAATAACTTGCCTACTGGTTTGTGCTTTGCTAAATGAAGTACTAATATTTACAAGTTTGTAAAAATGCCCAGATGAGTGATGAAAATTGGACAAGCTTAATATATGAAAAGACATCCAGAAAAAACTGAAGATATTGACATGCTTCGTCATCCAAGAGCATGCTACAATGGAATGCTATCCAGAAAAACAGCATGTGCCACATTAAAGAACAAGAAATAAAGATTACTAACAAAGGAAGAGAGTCAAAAGTAAGCAAATAAGATATGGAGAGACCACATTTTGATTGAGTCTGTAAAGTCCCAACTTTAAAAAACTAAGATAATTACATACCCCTGCGAGTAAGGACTTGAAATGCTGATTGTGCCTCCATCTATTGTCAGATCCTCGTGATGATTCAGAGCATCAATTGTGTTGGGACATTGATCAGACACTGGTCTAGGTTGCGAGTCTGAGAAGGCACTATTATTTGGCACGGCCACCTGCATACCTGCCTGAAGCGGCATATGTGTTGCAATTGCCTTGTTAGCTAGATCGTTATGTTGATCCATTGCTTTAATTGATACATCTCTGATAGGATGAGATTCAATCAGATTCTGCTGATTTGGTTGCACTGTCGAAGTAACAGTTGCAGGATTCTCATCAAACCCTCCCAGATATGTTGATTCTGGGCCACTACCATTCTTCAAGGCTTGTGGGTGAGCTGGTAAATTTTGCATGCGCCAATGACTGTTTCTCTAAACCATTTAAAAAGGAAATTTTAACTTAGTACCAAATGGAAGCTGCTTCCTCATAAACTATAATATATTCAGTCATCCAACTGTTACTACCTCTTAGAACGAGATGAAACACATGTTTAGGTAGTTAAAAGCACAGTCTAAGTTGCACCTACGGACTAATCATAGCCAAATCGCATTTATCAGAAAAATAATTGCCCAAACTGAACTTCTGGGCTTGAACTTTAGAGAAAGGAAGACAAAATGGAACAAGAGGGACCTATTATAATCTTACAGGAGTAAAGACGCAACAAAAATAAACAATCAAGCCAAAACCAATCTTATTGAAGCGCAGTAAGCCATAAAATTGGGAAATGACAGAAAAACTAGGCTGTGGAAAGAGATGTGGCTGGAAAAGAGCACATTCATGGAGTTATATCCCCTGATTTGCATCACATTGCTGTAAATACTGAAATACAATTCAAATCCCAGCGGGGACAAAAACATTAGGTGATTTCTTCCAATCTGTCCAAGCCTAGGTGGACAGAGTTAACTGGTAACTGTGTTGGTGGGAGATTGCAGGCATCAGTGGAATTAGCCGAGGCGCGAGCTGGCCCGGACATCATGGTTATCAAAAAAAAATACTGAAATACAATTGCCGAAAGCAGGAGTGGCAACAGTTGGAATATACGGTTTAGAAGAAATTTTTCAAGACATGGGAGATTGAATATACAGTGCAACAGATGCTAAATATGTGAAAGCTTCGCAGAATCCCCCAACCATCTAATTTCGCAATGCGTGACTATCTCGCATATCTGGCACATGCTACTCAATTTATTTGGTGTACAATTTGTTATGCCAAGAACCCTGAAGGAGACAGTAAAATGCTGGGAAGGGCATATTATGGAGGAAGGCACTACGGAAGAGAGTTCCAGTATCGAACAGTATAGTTAGAAAGGAAATACAGGTGATTTGAAGGAAAGAACCTGTAAATATTTGTTTGAAATATAGGCGTGTAAACTCACTTAGTTTTTGCGGTAGAGTGAATGATGTATACGATTCTGACAGCATCTAAAGCTGCTAGATTTTATGCACCTGTAACTGGCAACATTCAGAACATTATAGAGCTTTTTGAGTACCCACTAGGTGCTTTTATTTCATGAAATATACTTACCTTATCAAAAATCCATAAATCAGGCTCATGTAAATAACAAAGCAAAAACTGATCTTATTCAAGCGCAAAGCCAGAAAATCAGAAGCAACTGCAGCCATCCCCACATTCACAGAAAAAGCAGTGTAAAGATACTCAAAAACAATGGAACAAAATGAAATCTTAGACATGCACTACTAATGGGTATTATCTGTACACAAATATAATGTGGATTATTGTGGAACACGTGCACATAGATGTCCATGTGAGGTTGGTGTGTTTGATTTTTTGGGTACGTGTATGTGTTCGTGCATTCGTGTGTATCTGAGAGAGAGAGAGAGAGAGAGAGAGAGAGAGAGAGTATCAGGCAGAAATGTTAATTGATGTGGACACTAGAGACAAGGGTCACGGCTTTCGGTGTCTCTTACCATCTGCCTTTCTTTCCCCATGTTTGGCCCAACTCGAACAATTTGCATTGTCGGTGCAAGTATGCCGCACTCTAACGAAAAACACTAAGCTTACATGTGGCTTTTTGAAAGTGTAGCAATATGGATTGCTGTGCGTTATTCAGTAAGTTTATGTTGTTTAGTGTATTGGATTAGATGGCAATATAAGTGGAAGTACTTCCACATTAGTTTCCACTTTGTAAAATTGACTATCACGCAAACTGCATCTTACCATATATTAACCCGAAGGATGAGTGTCCTCTGTTGGAAGAATCAATCTTTCTTACAGCTGAGAGCTAGAGAATGCAATTCAAAGTTGACAACCAAAAACCTTAACAAGAAAATTGATACAACATATCATTAGCTACAGGAATTTACCCATGGCATAAGTTTTGTAGGCTCTGAGCTCCAAGGTTGATATGATCCTTCATGCTTTTGTACCTTCTCCTGTAAGTACTGTACGTATTGAATTACCTGCATACAAACATCAACAGTCACAAAGAGATCAAAACTTTCCAAAATAGAAATTAAACAAAGGAAAAGGTAAACTGGTTTTCTACTAATAAAATGTACCTCCAACAAGAATGATGCAGTATCCCGCTTTTGATCTGTATGGGGTATCAGATCTCTCAATATCTGAAATCTAGACAACACAAACACAAGCTTTTGTAAAACGCCAAAATTGTGTTCACGCATTTTTTTACATAATCTTTATTTGTTTTTTGAGAAAGACTTTGACCACATATCTTCAAATTTATAAGAGTGATACACCCAGCAAATGCTTCATTTTTAAGTGAAACTGAGTACAAAAAGAGACCCCCTACTTAATAAACCCCCGCCACTCCAAATAGACCAAAATAATTAATTTAAAGACCTCAATGGACTAAATTATGAGGCATGTTTTAAGAGGCTTTTCCTCAGATTTAATAATTACTTTATTTTGAGTGGCTTGGCCAGTTATTAAAAAGATTTACTTCTCCAGAGAAATAGAGTAAGTAACTTGACTCAGCAAGTTACATTTAGTAGCCCTTGTAATAATTCTGGAGGAATAGGAAAGTAAACATCCTGTAAGTATATTCTACATAATTAATGGAGTTCATCAGTTACCAAATTTTGAAAAAGTAAACCAACAAAAAGCCAATAACTATTAAAGCTTCCATGTAATGATACTTGCAAAATCTGTTTACAGATTCATTCTTTTAAAAAAAAATTACATTTCTATGAAGTTTTCAACTTCCTTTGTTTGACAATGACATAAATGAATATCGAGCCTTTGCAGCTCAAAATAATATTGTGTAACAATAGACAACTTGGGAAAAGTTGGACATTCGAATCACAACGGAGAAATAAAGATTGTGCTGAAATAGTCACTTTACATTTACACTGTTTTGTAAATCAGAAGGTGCTTTCTTTTCTTTTGATAAGTAAATCAGAAGGTGCAGATATACTGTCACAAATCCATTTGGAGTTGAAAACAACATATTTCGGAATTTCATACAAAGCATTGACAACTAGCTTTTAGACACAACTAGATTTTGAACTATGCAAATACTGAGACATTTTAATGGGGTGCGGCCCTTTCCCGGACCCTGCGTGAATGCGGGATGCTTCGTGCACTGGTCTGCCCTTTTTTTTTTAATCTCAAGTAAGTTGAATACTGCACTGCATATCACTCTCTGAACTTAGAGCTTACATTAATTTTCTTGCTTAAGCCTCCCAAATACTTATTTTACTATATAATTCTTTTCCTGAAACTCAACCAGCAGCTCCTCTTGGCTTAAAGTAATTGACTTAATCAATCTATGCCTTAATTCCACAATTCCAGACATGTTGGGTTGGTAACTAAATCCTCTATAATCATTCCGGTGCTTTTAGGCCCATCTCATCACAAAACTAAAGTTGTCCTGGAAGTAATTAACTAAGAAAAACTTAAGCTAGTTATTGAGGAAAACGACTTCTGCTTATCTCTTTACACAAGTCAATATCCAGCTGGTTGCAACATCTTATAAATACTTTACATTTACACTATCTTGTTCCATGTATCACGGCTTTTATAGACAGTAACTGTATTAAATGAAGAAATCTAAAAAACAAGACCTAAAAATCTCACAAACAAACCTTTAGTGTACATCCAGATTCCAGACAAATCCAAAACTTCAATTACCCGAAAAAGCGAAACAGAATATATGGACAAACCTCTCGTTGATCTTGCTCCTTCGACGCTGCTCTGTGACTGAATGCTTGGACCTTATTGCACTTGCCTTATCATTATTCTTCCCATCTGTTGCATCCATCCATAATAATATAACCACAAAAACAAAAAGAAAAATCAGGAATTTTCTTTACATCTCAATTCCAGTTCAACTCATAACAACAACAACAACAACAACAACAACAACTATGCCTTAGTACCTAACAAGTTGGGGTCGTCTATATGAATCCTCACTGACCACAATCCAGTTCAACTCATAACAACAACTATGCCACAGTACCAAACGAGTTGGGGTCAGCTATATGAATCCTCACTAACTACAATCCAGTTCACATCGTAACAACAACACTATGCTTCAATATCAACCAAGTTGGTTTGGGGGGACAGGGGTCGGCTATATGAATCCTTACTAACCACAATCAAGTTCAGCTCATATCCTTCTTTAAAAAAATCAACTTTTCATCTACAAAAATTACGAGAAAAAGAAAACTTACAGACCTTTAGTATTGCTACTAGAAGGTGGAGTGGCATCTTTCTTTAAACCAATCTCATCTTCCTCCTCTTCTTCCTCTTCTTGATGACCTTTCACCCCTTTCATTATTTTCTCCACAGATTTATCTATCAAACTCCAATTCTCTGCACACACAAAAAAACAAAGACAAAAATGAAGACACCCAGCGATACCAAGAAATAGAGATCTGTAATAGCTCAATCCAATAAAAAGATCTATACAACAAAAGGGGGGAAAATAATGGTTCAAATGAAAGTAGAGAAGAAAGATTACAGCTTTTGTTCTGGGAAATTTGAGTTCTTGAGAAATTCGGTTTTGGGTCTGTGAGATTTAGGGTCGATAGTGAGGGAAAAAACCGTAGCAATTACTTCTAGTGCGGGTTCTTGATTGTGGTGGTTAAAAGTCGAAATTTCGCTTTTTGGTATGAGAGTCATTTTTATTCTTTTTAACTTTGTCAATTGTTGAATTATTATTATTGTGTTTGGCTTTACCTAAATTGTTGGGTGTCATGACTCATGTGACTTATTTTAATTTCATTCATATGCATTTGATGGTTCACAACCTAAAAAGTAGGCAACTTAGTATGATGGGGCTTTTCTTTGTCACATTTTGTTCTATTCACTTCTCTTCTTTTGCTTTTCTTTTTTCTTTTTTTCCCTTAGTTTATGACTCTACTGTAATAACTCAATATTTTTTTTCTTAATATACTTATTAGTTATGAGATTAGTGAATTAATTTTTATTTATAGCTATTGGGTCAAATATTAAGTTAGTGGGAGAAAATATATTATAATATATAAAAATTGTGTATTAAATAAGTGAATAGTTGCCCCATTTTATAATTACACATGTTAATTAGCAAGTTAGTAATTTTAAGAAAATTTTACCTCCTATAGCAGAACTTTACACCCTATTTATTATAAATAAAAACCCTTTTAAAATATTATTTTGTATAGCTACCTTTTAGTTTTTATAGCAAAATATGTATTTATGGTCACTTCCTACCGCTAAGTCATTAAATATGTTGTCTAATATTTTTCTCTCTCATTCTTTCAGTTTATTCTCTCCCAAAATCACGCATAGTATCTTATTTCTCTCTCCACGATCTCTCTCATTCTTTCAGTTTATTCTCTCCCAAAATCACGCATAGTATCTTATTTCTCTCTCCACGATCTCTCTCATTCTTTCCTATATGAACCAGAAAACTAGTTTCCTCTGACATGCAGTCTATAATGGCGTCAATTTCCGCTCTTTCATTATTTTTCATTATTATCTCTTTCTGCCTCACTTCGATGACCATTTTCGTCCAATCCGACGGTCATGAAACTTTCACCATTCACGTTTCCAAATCCGATAAGCCCCGTGTTTTCACCACTCACCACTAAAGTTTTGGAATTTTTGGTCGGTTAAAGCTTCTTCTTTTTCTCTTCAATATTTTTTTAAAAAATATTCACCATTGTTAGGTTTTCTGCAGAATACCCACTAAAGCACTCAATTTCGAAGGGTCATCTTTCGATTTGCAAATCACTCAAGAGTAACCTATATTTGCAGGTTCATCAGCAACTATTGAAGCCGAAAGGAGAATAAAAATACGCAATGACCCTAATTGTAGATGTATTTATATGTATTCGAGTCCGCATGTATTTATTTTTAGTTTCTACAGTGATTTTCTCTTCTTGTATTTAAATGTATTTATATGTATTCAATAAGGCACACACTGATTTTTATTTTATACAGTAATTTTTTACTGTTGTATTTAGATGTATTTATATATATTTGAGTTCTTACAACAACATTTTTAAATACATTGTTAGTTCTATCATTTTTATGTTATTCATCAATTAGTTATGCATTCAATCTAACTGTATTCATCTGTATTTTCAACCTAACTGTATCCATCTGTATTGAAAACAACAATACAGTGAAACACAGTAAAATACTCTTAATACAAATAGAAAATCAATGAATACAACCAATGAAATATACTCAATAAAGCAGTAATACCATATATTAGGAATAAATAAAATATTGTGAATACAAAAATAAACTTGAATACATTGAACATAACTGTTAGATACAACAGAATACAAGAACTAGGTTTATTATGAAATATGCAGGCAGTAGGTTACTATTACAGGTTGTATCCAGCATAAATACATGATGTATTCATATATAGAAAATCGAATTTCAAAATATTTCTGTAGATACTTGTATCAGTTCCGAGCACAACCTCGAACAATGTCAGAAGAAAAAAAAAACTTGAACTGTATCAAAAAAAAAAAGGAGACTGAAACTCTGAAGAATGCTCTATTTTTTGTATTTAGCGTCTAATAAATTTTCTCATTAATTGGATTGATAATATTGTGTATTATAATTGATTTAGGTGAGTTATATTAAGAGTGTATCTCGTTAAATTAACAGTTTTTCGTTATTAAACAACTGGAGAGACCTATTATTACGTTGTATTCATGAATACATGGTATGAATACATGTGAATACAGCGGCTGACAACTAGAGTGCCCTGTTTTTTAGCCGATTTTTGCTACTGTATTCATGAATGCAGTAGCTCGAATACATCGAATACATTACCATAACAACTGAAAGGTAGTTACGGAAAGTAATTATGTATATGGTAGTTATAGGAAGTTAATAACCACTAAACAATAGTCATTTCTGAAAATTCCTCTAATTTTAAATAGTATGGATAAAAAAAGTGGGCCTTAAGCCCATACCTTATGTAGGGGAAGTGCACAATTAGCCACTAATTAGTGATGTCTTTACTATTTAGTCACTGTTTAAAATATATTTACTCTTTAGCCAGTGCTTAATAAATTTATACCCGCCTGGATGAAAATACCCATGTACTAGATATGGATGTTGTGTAAATATTAAGGACATTGTGTCCTTAACTTCATGAATGTTGTGTAAATATTAAGGACAAAGTGTCATGTATTTGCACCTTCCGTTGTTAAACTTTAGGACAACATGTCCTTAACTTCATATGTGTAGTGTAAATATTAAGGACATGACATCCTTAACTTCATATGTGCAGTGTAAATGTTAATGACATAATGTCCTTAACTTGTATTTGCACTTTCTGTTGTTAAACTTTAGGACCGCATGTCCTTAACTTCATATGTGCAGTATAAATGTTAAGGACATGATGTGCAGTGTAAATATTAAGGACATAGTATCCTTAACTTTATGAGTGTTGTGTAAATATTAAGGACATAGTATCCTTAACTTTATGAGTGTTGTGTAAATATTAAGGACATGGTGTCCTTAACTTCGTGAATGATATGTAAATATTAAGGACAAAGTGTCTTGTATTTGCACATTCAGTTGTTAAACTTTATGACATCGTGTCATTAACTTCATGTGTGCAGTGTAAATATTAAGGACATGGTGTCCTTAACTTCATATGTGCAGTGTAAAAGTTAAGGACATCATGTCCTTATTATTTACACAGCACTCATGAAGAAAGGCTAAAAACATCTTTTTCTATAAATTTTAATAGAGTAGTGGCTATTTTTGCTCAGCATTTAAAATACTGGATAAAAACTAAATAGCATGTTAAAAAGTGGCTATCTCATGCTACGTTTAGGACTTGGGGGTTAGAATATATTTTACGGCTAGGTTCTTGAGAAAGAAGAGTAGCAGTAGAAAATACTGGGGGAAAGCACCGTGTCTTCGGCGTCACTGCGTTAGAAACCAGACAACTTTTATCAATCAAGGTGTAGAAATCCTTATTAAGGAATCCAAGTAACAAGGTATGTTACATATAATTCTTACCTATATAAACGTCTTCCAGGGAATTGTGGGAATTGTGATAAAGTGAATATTAGTTAACTTTTATAATAATTAGATAATGATGGGGAAGTTTGTAATAATTGCTGAATTTGTAGAATTAAATGTAAAGTTGGACGTAAAAATTGAGTATCCAGTTAACTCAAGCAAGGATTAACCAATAAGGATTTCTTTTATAGCCATGTTTTTATACACAATTTATACTTATCTTTCAGTTCCGTTTTTACAAGGAAGCACGAACTTGAATCAATAATATGTGTTATTACGAGGGTTTAGTAGCGGACTACTATTAGTTATCTCTGACCATTATTATTGCTTGGAGATGAACACAGTATATCGAGCGCACATGTTTAATAGCGAATCAAACTGTGATGTGAAAAAAAATAAATGTAACTCTAAGTTTGAATGTTAGGGATATTGAGAGTTGACTCCGACTAGCATCATTGACATCGTTAATTAATATTTTGGATAGATTGAGGTCATTCAGGCTGTTTGGTTGGTGTTTTAGGCGTTGCGAGGTTGGCGAACTTCTCATTAGCGAGGTAAGTGTTGCTTGCTTTTCAAACCCGTTTTGAAAGTATATTTTGTCTGCCTGGTCCATGTGTTGGGACGAGCATGCGCTTGGTAGAATTGGTGGTCTTTGACCAGCCGCAAATATATATTATTTTGTAAAAAAGTTAAAATTATTTAGTAAGTGATTTGTGGGGTGGGGTGATGTGGCGTAGCCTCGTGCTATAGCGTTGGGGCGATATAAATTATTTCTTCGCTGCCGTAATATATTTGAGGCATTGCGTTTGCTGTCGTGGACTCATTGGGGTATTTGGTTAATTTCCCTCGCTGCCATTTATGACAAGTCCTTAGTGTAGATGGTGGTGCTAAGATATATAGTGTTGTTGTTGAATAATTATTTGGAGGCCAAATACCTATGCGGCCCCTTAAACTTGGCTCCAGTTTTCATTTTAATACTTTAACTAAGACCAGTACCTATTGAACACTTAAACTTTATCTTACTTATACCTATTAAACATATTTTTTATAACCCTCAACAGACTTCAAAGCGTGAAGCTACTTGCCATTGACCTAACAAATGACACCAATAAGAAAAAGACAAGTCAACAGAGAAAAAGTAGAGTAAAAAATCTAGAAAGGAAAAAAGAGAAAGAGAAATGANTAAGAAAAAGACAAGTCAGCAGAGAAAAAGAAGAGTAAAAAATCTAGAAAGGAAAAAAGAGAAAGAGAAATGAGTTTCATTCCATCTGCTTAAACGCTGAGTATTGGGGAGAGTCTTCTATGGAATCTGATTTCTTTCAAGCTCTGCAGCAGATTGACGATATATGAGATTGGTCCATTGACTAAAAAATAAATATCTGAAGACAAAAAATAATTTGAAGTTCAGGAAAAATTTGCAGAGCTTCAAGGTCAAAAAATTCTCCATCGTCGTCTTCTTCGTCAATCTCATACTTCACCAATTTTCTTTGATCCAATTTCTGATTAATTTTAGTTATCTCATCAATTCAACCTTCTGAGTCAACTTGTTCTTCGTCTCTGAATTTTTAAATCTCCGTTTCATGTAAGGAGGGAAGGGAAAGGATCGAGGCTGGTGGTGACAGTGGTGGG